CTCCAAACTGTCAGCACAGAGCCCGACGTGGGTCTCAAACCCACAGACCATGAGATCATGACCTGAGCCGAAGTCAGACCCTCAACCACCTGAGCCACACAGGCGCCCCTATCCTTTGCATTTTTGTACGAAGTTTGGAATTTGCCCAAGTTTCAACAAAACAAGTCTTAGGATTCTTGTTGGAATTATAATTAATTAATCCTCTCTGTAATAGTGCATTTTCCATTGAATGAACATCCCTCCATTGATAAGGACTTCCTTAGATCTTTTGATAACAGTTTTGTGATTTTCTTCATAAAGCATTCCATAAATTTTGTTACATTAATAATTGTTTTCTTTATATTTTAGATGTTATTGTAAATGATGTCTTTAAATTTTGTTTGTTGCTGGTGCACAGAAATTGAAAAAATTTCAATATATATTTATTTTGAAAGAGAGAGTGAGCAGGGAAGGGGCAGGAGAGAATCCCAAGCAGGCTCCGCACCGTCAGTGCGGAGCCCGATGTGGGGCTCGAACCAACGAACCTTGAGATCATGACCTGAGCTGAAACCAAGAGTTGGACGCTTAACTGACTGAGCCGCTCAGATGCCCCAGAAATAAAATTTTTAAACAGATTTTTCTGTTTGGTAACCTTGCTGCAATTTGCTTATCAATTCTAGTAATTTCTCTATAGATTCATTTGAACTTTCTAAATATGCAAATACATCACCTACAAGACTTAACAGATTTGCTTTTCTTTCCGTTCCTCATAACTTGTGGTTTTCTTTCTTTTTCTTGTCTAATTACATTGGCAGACCCCCAGTACGCTGTTGAAGAGACGTGGTCATAATAGGCATGCTTGTTTTGGGAATGCACTCCAGGTGTTCTGTAAGCAGTTTATGGTATTTTTATTAAATTGAGAAATATCTATTCTTAGTTTGTGAAGAGCTTTTCATAATCACAGATGTTGCTGAATTATCAAAAGCTCTTTCTGGAGGCACCTGGGTGACTCAGGTCATGATCTCACAGTTCGTGAGTTCTAGCCCCACATCGGGCTCACCGCTGTCAGTGCAGAGACTGCTTCAGGTCCTCTGTCCCTGTCTCTGCTCCTCCCCTGCTTGTGCTCTCTCTGTTTCAAAAATAAATAAGAAAAAAAAATTTTTTTTAAAAAAGCTCTTTCTGTATTGCAAAAAATTGTTGTTTTTCCACCTTTAATCATTAACATGATTCGTTACATGGATTGGTTTCATATTGTTAAACCAACCTTCCTTTCCTGAAGTAAAACCAACCTGGCCATGATTTGATTGGTTTGTTTTTGATTTGGCTTATTTTAAGATTTTTGCTTAATATCACAATGATACAGTCTTGTAAAATGAGTTGGAGAGTGGCTTTCTTTCCCTGTTTCCTGGAGGAGTGTCTCTAAGATGTGCATTACTCCTGTCATAAATGTTTATTAGAAATCTTAGGTGAAGTATGTGTGGGGCCTGGCATCTTTGTGGGATACCAATTCAAATTTCGTTCTGTTTTTTTAAAATAGCTTTTTTTTTTTTTAAGTTTATTTATTTGTCTTGAGAGGAGTGAGAGCACATGAACAGGGGAGGAGCAGAGGGAGAGAGGGAAAGAGAGAAACCCAAGCAGGTTCCACGCTGTCAGCCCAGAGCCCGATGTGGGCCTGCATCCCACAAACCACGAGATCATGACCTGAGCCAGGTCATGGAGATCAGGAGTCAGATGCTTAACCGAGTGAGTCACCCAGGCACTGAAATTTTCTTTCTATTAATAAGAGTATTTCTTCATGTAGAATACTGGCAAATTGAATGTTCCCGAGAATTTGTCCACTTCATCTACATTTTCAAATTTATTAGCACAGTGTTATTCCTGCCCTCTTTTTAACATAGGCCAGATCTGTAATGATGTCCCCCCCTTGTCATTCCTGATACTATTATTTGTGGCATACAAATTTATACTATTTCTTTCATCATCTTTCATTTTTACTTGCCCAGCCTTTTTTCAGAGGGGTGTCATCTGTATTATTTTTTTTCAAAGAACCAATATTTTGGTTTATTGTTGTTGTCATTGTTTCATTGATTCCAGCTTTTTATGATTTCCTTTTTTCTAGGTTGAGTTTGTCACTTTTCTGTAGTACTGTAATGGATATTTAGCTCAAATGTTCACCTTTCTAGTCAACTATATATTTAAAACTGTAGATCTCCTTCTAAATGCTACTTCAGCTGTATGTTCATTTTCTATGCTCTGTGTCAAGTGACCACAAATTTTCCCATCTAAAACAGCATACCTTTGGGGCACCTGCATGGCTCAGTCGATTCAGCCTCTGACTCTTGATTTTGGCTCAGGTCTTGAACTCAAAGTCGTGGGATCAAGCCCCACATCAGGCTCCATGCTGGGCGCAGATCCTGCTTGGGATTCTCTCCCTCTCCCTCCGCCCCTCCCCTGCTCATGCACAAGCACGGATACGCACGCACTCTCAAAAAAATAAAAATAAAACAGCATACTTTTATTATCTCGCAGTATCTATGGGCCAAGAGTCTACGCACAGCTTAGATGGGTCCTCTGTTCAGGGGTTCGCAAGGCTGCATCAGTTACTACCCTGGACTGTGTTCTCAGCTGGAGCTTGCGGTCCTCTTCCAAACTCATCAGATTGTTGACCACATTCAGTTCCTTGCAGCCCTCTGCCACGAGGCTGCCTTTCCAGACCATGTCTCCACTGTATGCTTCGTCAGGGCCAGTAAGAGAGACTCTGTTACTTTGAGTCTCTTTCAGAAAAGGCCAGATGGGATTCACCAGATTAGGTCAAAACTATCCAGAATAAGCTCCCTTTTGACTAACTCTGAGCCAACAGTATAAGAACATTAATTGCATCTCCAAAATCCTTTCACCTGTGCCCTATTCTGTTGGTAAGAAGCAAGTTATATGTTCTGCCCTCACAAGGGTATGGATCTGGGGATGGGGAAGGAATGTAGAGGCTGTTCTGGAGCTCTGCAAACCACAACCTCCATTCTCCAAGCGGAGATATCTAGTTTAGTTACCCAATTTCAAAGAATACTATGCTCTCATTATTACTTATAATTTGACCCACAGATATTATTTGGAGCTATAGTTCTTCATGTTCAAACATAGCTATTTAAGTTATAATTGAACTGTTATTAGAGAATATGTTCTCTGTGTGATTTAAATTATTTGACATTGGATAACAATTGCCTCATGACTCCATTTACCTCCCTCTCAACTTATATGTTGTCATGTATTTTGTATCTCTTTAAAGACAAGTCTTTATTGTCTTGTATAGTCACCATTCATTTAGATTTACCTATATTTGCCATCATTTTTGCTCTCTGTTCCTTGCTGTGTCTTTGAACTACCATCTGGGATAATTTAGTGCAGTTCAGCTGGAGGCAGATTCACTTTTTTTTTTTTTCCGAAATGTCTTTATGGGGCGCCTGGGTGGCTCAGTTGCTTAAGCGTTTGACTTTGGCTCAGGTCACGATCTTGTGTTCATGAGTTTGAGCTTTGTGTCGAGCTCTGTGCTGATAGCTCAGAGCCTGGAGCCTGCTTTGGATTCTGTGTCTCCCTCTGTCTCTCTCTGTCTCAAAAATAGATTACCCTTGAAAAAAAATTGTTTTAGATATGTATTTATTTGGCCTTCATTTTTAAAGGCAATCAATTTTTTCTGTACATAGAATTCTCTTCGGGTGATGATCTTGAAGATAACCTTCCCATTGTCTTCTGGCTTCCCTATCATTGCCATGAAGAAATCAACTGTTAGTTTCTTACTCCATTGAAACTAGTGGAGTCTTTTTCCTCCGGCTGTTTTCAGGGTTTTTTCTTTGTATTTGCTTTTCCGCAGTTTTATTATGCTGTATCTAAGTGAGGATTTCATTTTATTTTTCCACTTGGGTTTTGTTTGGCATCTTAGATATGTGGATTGATACATCAGTTCTGGAAAACTCTCAATTATATTCTTTAGGTATTTCCTCTGCCCAGTATTCTTTGTCCTTGACTTCTGGGATTCTAAGTAAACACATGTTAGACCTTCTTGGTATGTTTCTTCTGTCTTCATTTTTCTGTGTGTATTGTGTTTATTTTTTCTGTGTCATCCTAGATAGTTTCTTCTTATATAGCCTGTAAATCATGAAGTCACTTTTCAGCTATTTTTAGTTTGCCAGGAGACTCATTCACTGAGTTCATAATTTCTGTTTATATATATATATATTTTTTATTTTTTTTAATGTTTATTTTTGAGAGAGAGCAAGCAGGGGAGGAGCAGAGAGAGAGGGAGACACAGAATCCAAAGCAGGCTGCAGGCTCTGAGCTATCAGCAGAGAGCCCGATGTGGGGCTCAAACTCACGAACAGTGAGATCATGACCTGAGCTGAAGTCAGACGCTTAACTGACTGAGCCACCCAGCTACCCCTCTGTTTTTATATTTTTTAATTCTGTTTTTTTGGCAAGGTTCTTTTCCTTAATCTGCACTGGTATGCTATCTGGTTCCTTGCTGCATTTTTTAAATGAGGATTTTATTTCCATGGATTATCCTTTGTGTCTGTTAATTCCACTATCTATAGCCTGCTCCAGTTCTGTTCCTGTCATCTCTAGTTCATGTTGCTTGTAGTTCATGTTGTCTGGCATTATCTTTGATGGTTTGCTTGAAAAACCTGGAAAAGAATACAGAAATAATTTAAGATCTGAGATGATTTCATCTTCCTTAAGAGGTTTTTGTTTCTTGCTGCCAAGTGCCTGAGGTCACTAGCAGTCTGGAACTTAGGGTTTAGATGTTCTGTTCTCCTCCACATGATCCACTGCACCATGTATCCCCACTCCAGGTGACAGCCCTTGGGCTCCAGTGTTTGGGTGGATACCAAACGCAACCTTTGTCTCTCCAACTCTAATTGTTGATGAAAATACAACTCTTCCTCTCCACTGACTCCTCTAGATTGGCAATTCAGCACAAGGGCAAACGCAGCGCTGGCACTATTTCCTGAACTCTAATCCTCCTTCCTTAGTTTGACCTGGTAGATTCCATCTTTTACATCTTCGAGAGGATGCTTATTGTGTTTCCTCAGTTTTATCTTCGGTGAGAACATAGATCCAAGTGACCTCTTTTCTGGGGCACCTGGGTGGCTCAGTCAGTTAAGTGTCTGACTTCGGCTCAGGTCACGATCTCATGGCTCGTGAGTTCAAGCCCCGCATCGGGTTCTCTGCTGTCAGTGCAGAGTCCTCTTCGGATCCTCTGTCTCCCTTTCTCTCTGCCCCTCCCCCATCTCCCTCTCTCAAAAACATACAAAAAGCCCTTTTTTTTTTTAAAAAAAAAAAATGACCTCTTTTCTCATCACCACCTCCAGAAATCCAAGGTTACATCTTGGTCATGAATAAAATGTGCAACACCTGTACTTTGGTTCTCCACCTCACCCCTGGGTCACTCAGGGAGTTTCAGATGACCCTAGATGATATCTTTTTATCCATGAACGACTCATTTATTCATTCAACCAGTATTTATTCAGTGCCAACTATGTTCTATGCTTTTTTTCTTAGAACTAGAGACTCAGTGGTAAACAAGAACTTACTGTTCTGTTCTAGGAGATAGACAAGTCAGTTTTCACATGAGAGGATTTTAACTTGGGGTAACCCCCTTAAAATTATTTGGAAGATTTTACATGTATCTTCAGTCTTCGGGAGGGTTTGTAGTTTTCTTCACATCCTCGAAAGAGTCTGTGACTCAAAGGGTTTTAAAGAATCAGTGCTCTGTATGATATTACAGTAAGTTTAGCTTTCTCATATTAATAAAAAGATTTAAATTCTATGTCCGATTTGTTATTTGTTCTACCTTGTAGGACTTGGAGGGTTGGAGGTTGATTAGCTTTAAATAAAATTCTACCACTCAATAGATGTTTGACTACATGTCTACTGTGTGCTAGGCAATGGAGGTACTGATATAAATATGAGAGTTTCAATCCTCAAGGCATCTTGACACAGACACTATACGGAAAATTATAACCTCTTACCCGAAAGTAGTAGTTCTCAAACATTGGTGGTATGTAAGAATCAACTAATCTATTGTAAAGTATTCCTCTTTCTCAGGTTCCTTCCCCTGACCCTGAGATTTTTATTCCATAGATCTGGAGTGAATCCTGGAAATCTGCCTAAGGATTCTGGCCAAGTGTTATACCCCATTTCAAGAAATAATAATGTAAACTCTTTTGTAATACTATACGCTTGCTCTTCTATGTTCTATATTTATGCTACCGAATCTACTTACTCCTCTTAATACTTTTTTGTCCCATCATATAGATGAAGAAACCAAAGCACAGAGCAGTTAAGTTGACTTGCCCACAGTCACATGGTGCTAGAACCAGGGTTCAAACGCAACATATCTACAGGGGCAGGCTGTGTCTCCCCTGTGTATACATATATGTAGCCTCCTAGTCATGCAGAGATATGTGAAGAGCTTATCTTGAGCCACTGAAGGTCTCCCTGTTAACTTTCTGGCTAGTCCAATGGTCTGCTGCTTACCTCATATGAGAGCACAAACTTCAGGCTCACAGAGCTATGGGCTTTCCCCATTTATTTCCTCCTAGGTTTGCAATTTTTACTGCCAGCACTGTTAGGTATGGCCTTTATGTCATCCACTCCAACTCAAGTTAGCTCCCTCTAGCAGTGGAGCTCCTGGCTTTGAATGTTGACCTCACCCCGGTGGCAACGTTGCACCAACCCATTTGGGGAGTCTGCTTCTGGCAAGAATGCCACAGACTCCCACTACTCTGGCCCGAAATTCGCAGGGTTTGAAAAAATGAATAAATGATTCGCAATTTGTTTGCCTTCGGTCAATTTCCAGAGCCCTCAAATGATTATTTTGACAATTTTTTCCCAATGACTTTTTTGTGGCAGGGATAGAGTGTGGATTTGATATCTTTACCATCACTAGAATCCTACCTAAGTGCCATCTACACATTTTTTTCAGGTCTTGGATTTGATTTTACCCCACTTACAATCTAATCAATTAACCTGTTACTGTTTCATGGATGCTGGCAGAAAACACAAAACTCCTGGAACAGAGACAAAGGACTTTGTTACCCAATGGCACAGCAACAAGCGCTACTGTCAGCATATTTGCAGGGGTTCTTCTTGCTCACAAGTCCCACGGGGGGTGACACGAAGAGGCTTAGGTAGATGGTACACATGCAGTGGGTTTATGTCATGTCTGAGGAACACTGAACTTGACGAATCCACCATTTTTATAGCAAGCAGTAAGCAAGCCTGTTCTTTTTCCTGGAGGGAGGCATCACCTCATATCTCAAGGTTACTCACTTGAGGTAAACAGGTTAAACGCCAGCCTGGGAAATGGCTCAGGGAAAGAGTAGGCACTGTCTTGCATTTTTGGCATACCCATCAAGTACTGGAGGAACACAAGAGACACATGACCAATGTGTCTTTCCAGCTCATTTTACCTAGTTTGCTGGAATGAAGTTACCAATAATAACTTCATCTTTTAGATTTCTTATGACCTGTAGCAATGTTTCCTTTTTACTTCTAGTATTATTTGTGGCTTCTATCCTATTTTTCCAGAGTAGTTTTACCAGTTTATTAATTTTATTAGTCTTTTTGAAGAACCATCGTTTGCTCTTGTTCATCCTCACTTTTTTCTATTTTTCTGGCTTTGTTTTGTGATGTATACTTTTTTTTTTTTTTTTGAAAGACAGACAGACAGAGCCTGAGTGGGGGAGGGGCAGGGAGAGAGGGAAACACAGAATCCAAAGCAGGTTTCAGGCTCTGAGCTGTCAGGACAGAGCCCAACGCAGGGCTTGAACTTGTGAACCATGAGATCATGACCTGAGCCAAAGGTGGACGCTTAACCGACTGAGCCACCCAGGTACCCCTCTAATATGTACTTTTAAGACTAGAAATTCCCCTCTAGTTATGTTTTTAGTTATGTCCCACAAGTTTTGATATGTAGTATTTTTAGTAACAGATCAAAATATTTTATGATTTCTGTTTGTTTTTTGACCCATGGGTTATTTTTTTTTTTATTTTTATTAAAAAAAATTTTTTTTTTCAACGTTTATTTATTTTTGGGACAGAGAGAGACAGAGCATGAACGGGGGAGGGGCAGAGAGAGAGGGAGACACAGAATCGGAAACAGGCTCCAGGCTCTGAGCCATCAGCCCAGAGCCTGACGCGGGGCTCGAACTCACGGACCACGAGATCGTGACCTGGCTGAAGTCGGACGCTTAACCGACTGCGCCACCCAGGCGCCCCGACCCATGGGTTATTTTGAAATGTTTTTTAATTTCCAAATATAGGGGTTTTTCTAGTTATCTTTTTATTTTGTTTTTCACACTAATACCTAGGTTAGAGAACATAGTCTGTATTTCACTCTTGATTTTTTTCAATTTTTCTTTGTTGAAATGTGCTCTATGGCCAAAAATATGGTCAATTTTGCTAATGTTCCATGTGTACTTGATGTCTATGTATGTCGATCAGGTCAGGTTCATTAATCATGTTCATCATTTATATCCTTACTGAGTTATGTGAGTGTGTCTGGGCATATGTTAGTTATCCAGGAAAGTTGTAGAGCAAACTAAAAAGGTCAGAGGCCCAAGACCTTGAACATACCAGTATTTAATGCCAAGCGTTTCAGGGGTGTTAAGCCACAGGAAAATATTTTACATGTTGGAAAAGCCATCTCTTCTCTGACTTAATTAGCACTCCTCCCCACTTTGCTTATTTCATTCATTCATCACCAATGAATATTCTTTAAAAAATTTTTTTTAATGTTTATCTTTGATAGAGAGAGCAAGCAAGTGGGGGAGGGACAGAGAGAAAGGAAGACACAGAACCTGAAGCAGGCTCCAGGCTCTGAGCTGTCAGCACAGAGCCCAACGCAGGGCTGGAACCCAGGAACAGTGAGTGAGCTCATGACCTGAGCAGAAGTCAGAGGCTTAACTCACTGAGCCACCCAGGAGCCCCAACAATGAATATTCCTAGTTGTCTTGCTTGTTTACATATCTATTGTGTGTCTTTTGGACTAGACTACAAAATCTCAATGAGGACAGGGACCATATGTCTTCTTGACAGTATATCCCTCGTGCCTGTACATACATGATACTAAATATTTGTAGCATAAATGGTGCACTTTCTTGAAATGTAACTTTAGATAATTTGGAGAGAAATTTCAAATTATTAAACTCGTGACCAATTAAAAATGTTTTCTTACTACACCACGTGAATATTCGTGAAGAAGAATGCAAAATTTGGAGCAATTTAAAATATAAAATGGGAACAATTCAAGTAAGTTTGCCTTTGACATTGGTGACTCTGGGCTGATTTATGCATGCCACGTGGATGGTGAATGGGGGAAATCAATGTTTATCTCACTTGTCATCGGTGTTTTTTCGATGAAAACATTAAAAAGCAGGGATTGGAAGGGTTGTCAGACGAAGTACAGGCAGGAAACTTTGGGCAGGGAATAGGAATTGACTGAGAATTAAAAGAAATGGAGGTGGAGAGAATTTCTGAACTGGGTTGATAGGGTTATGACTAGGATTGGGAGCTCGAGGAGGACAGAGTGGGATTAGGCATTTGGCTGTATAAGGCTTTTTATGCTTCTTCTTCTTTGCTTTTTTTCTTTTCTCTTCATATTCAGCGTTGTTTCAGTCTGTTTCCGTTGTGGCCAAGGGACCGTAGAGAGGAAACTTTGCGAGGGTGGCTTCTTCGAGGAGGGGGTGATGCGCCGCGCACGGATATAGCTGACCACGGCACTAGTCAGTGAAAGGGCCCTAAAGGCAAAGGAGAAGCCAGGGGGACCGCGGGAACGGCTGGATATCGGCAAGGTCTAGGGTTGGGGTAAGCCCAGGGTTTCCTTCCTTCTGAGTTTAGGGGCTCCTCCTGTCTGGGAGGCGTGGAGGCATAGGCTGCGCCCCTCATCCCAGCACCCAGGTCTGTACGGAGCAAACACAACAGCGTCACCCGCACCTAAGCCTCCAAGCCCGGGCGTCCGGGGACATTACAAAGCAGCGTAGAGAACGTGCCCGTTCGCCTCGGTGACATTCCCCCCGCGCCACTGCCGGTCCTCTGCCC